TCAGATAAATCTATGTAGTTTATGTTATTAATGATTTCAAGAAGCCAGGAAAATGACAACACAAAAACCTACTCACCCTGAAAAATTTTTTGAAATAGATTTTGAACCAGAAAATTGATTCTTTATTTATGTAACAAGACATGTTCATATAGGAGGGTATCTAATCAATCTATTAACATAAGATATTAATTGCTGGCTCTATCTATTTTGGTTATAAACCGCTAAATAAAAGTAGCCAGGAAAATGACAGATTTTCTTGGACAAATAAATGATTGACAAAAAAAAATTATTTTAAACGAGGTTTTTGTAAATAATACCCCCTGCGTAAATTCTAGAAATGCTTACACCTGTCGAGATAAAGAAAGTTAGATATTGAAAAATTTCTGAGAAGTTTTGAAGCTAGTTATTATTGGAAACATTGTTTGAGACATGCCAGGAAAATGACATTTCGAAATTCAAGTAAATTTTTTAACTATATAAAACAGTCAATGCTAGTGCAAAGTCATTTTAAAATGCTAACAACAATGCTATTTATTAATTTTTTTAAGAAAAGTTCTTTTAGTATTATAGTATTAGATCTTGGTGCAAGGGACAGTGAATTGTCATTTTTCGTCAATCACCCATATATGCATTTAGGAGTAGTTTGATAAAAATCCTGTATTATTTGTTGGTAAATCTTTTTGTTTTTACATATTGATATTAAAAATTATTTTCTATTATATATATAAGTGTGTTTTAAAATCTTCACATTAAATTAATCTCTTATAAACCATTACCATACAAATAAATTAAAAAAACAAACAAAACAAATTAACGGACCATCATATTCTATTTGGAAAAAAAATTCTAACATCGATTGTTGTTTGTTTATTTAGTTTAATGAAATTTGAACTAAAAAAAATAAATAAATAAAAGTGAAGAATGAAGAAAGGTAATTCCACTAAAGCATGTCATGAACAGATGTCGCGATTTTCTGAAAAAGAAATCGATTTATCGAATTTTTTGCTCTTCAGAACTAGATTAGGATTAAGAGGTTTCCAAATTCATTGATTTTTGTGTTATTGAAGGGAGAAAAAAAGAGGAAAAACCATTTCATTGTCGGTTTTAAAAAATAATTTCATCAAAATTGTTTGTTATTCGTCAGAAATATTTTTCAATAATCGTAGATTATTTCGTGACAAAGGAATTGAATTAGTACAGTTGTACGCCGTTATAGTGAACATGGTTTAGTGAAATGTTCGTGCTTTGCTATTCATATGTAATATTATAATTTTTTGTGGGTTAAGTGAACCAAAAGTATGAACTTCTTCATTTTTTGGTAATTTCTACTTAAAATACCGCATCTACCGATTTTTATATCCTTATAATACAGACGTTTGTGAAATTATAACGTTTTTACTTACGCGCAATTGATTAAATTAACAACTCCGTTCAAAACTTTTTTTTATGAAATCCTGCAACTAATAGCACTTTATGTTTGGTTCGATCTTTACGGGAAATTCTGGTTCTAATGATCACACATTTAGACAAAAATATAAACCTGAAGAGTAAATTTAACCAAATAAGTAGTTTTTTATGCTATCATGATAATATTTCTAAATTTTAGTACATCTAAAAAATTTTATCACATATTACAGAAACACTTTTATTGTTAATTTTAACTCTCATAGAAACGGAAACGCGGTAAATATTTCCATATTCTGATAAGTTTGGCTTACGCATTTTTAAATCTTGTCACTTTATTTGTTTAATATTAAGCATTATCTGTATGAAATTATCCAAGTAAAATGTCAATGAAAAATAAAAGAAATAGCAAAATTTAGGGTATATATCAATTTTTTGAATAAATTGGGAAAGAATTTGCTTTTATAAAAAATTGCATTCGTATTTTTCCTGTTGAGCAATTCAAAGTATAATCACTAAATTCAACAAAAAAGAATTATGTTTACGTTATAATAATTCTCTTCGTTTATAACAATATTTTGTCATAACAACAAAACCATAATTCAGCTTATTTAGTATTGTTTTGCTTAAGTTTAAAATAAGAAGTTTAAAACTAGAATTGAAAGATGCGAATTTAACAGTTAGATATTAAACTTGTTTTATTATTAGCTATTAGTTAACAGCCTCCCTATATATCTTTTTTTCAAATTTTCAATCGTTCGTCAAATACTTCATCCACTCAAATACATTTCCTTTTAAACTTGCATGTTAGTACAGTTTTTTTTTTTTTTTTCAAATATTAATTCATTCAATGAAAAATGAAATGGAATTTTCTGATTAGTTAAGCGTTATTTTAAATTTTACTGTGAGAGATTCAGTTTTCCATCTATTTAAAAGTGATAATTCTTTAACAAATTGTTAACAAAAGTGATAAATTTTAACAAATTCTTTAACAATTTCTAACTTCTTTTTGAACAAAGAGATAGTTTATTGCGCGCATTTAATTATTTTACATTCGCCGTGTCAGATAAATTCAATAAAGAACATTAGCAAGAATGTGGTGCACGCCACCCTACTTTTCTAGTTATCTGATACCATGTTTTTTTTTCAATTCCTTCTAGTATTAGTTCTCAATCTGTATATTTATGTATCTCGTTCACATTTTAAATGCTTAACAAAAAACTACTTTTTAGTCAAGTTGCAAATACATTTTTTACCCAACGGCCTCCTCTCACTTTTCAAGAGTGCGCATGCGTCGTCATTGCGTGAGTTGATATGGCAACCGCTGCTGTTTCATCATTTTTTTAGAATTCTTTTTTTTTTCACTTTTAATTTTGTTATGCATTAAGTGGGTTCTTTTATTTTTGAGCTAGACAGAGATCCCATAAATACTTCTTGAGTTGTGGATAAAAGAGAATTTCACCATTTAAACGATATTTTTTTTTATTGTTTTAATTAATAATCAGAAATTCTAACCTTACAATTCAAACTGGATCATTTTCAATACTAATTCAGGTGAATATCACAAAAAATATTCTTTTTTTTCTGTGCTTTCTATATTAATTTTTGTTTCGATTCAAAATGCATTTTATTGTCTTTATTAATTTTGCCTATATTGTGTTCATTGCAATTTTATTAAGTTTTATCCGATATTTTATTTTATTTTATAACCGTCGTTGAACAGCCGACCCAATTTTATGGGTTTACGACTACTAATGCTCAACTCCATAGCCTTGTCCTTTTGAACCCAATCCAGAAGACAGGGGAACTCCTGGATCGTGTATTGAGAGAAATTTGCCTTCGTGGAAACTTTTAGATGGAGCTAACCCCCGCATTTGCGTTACATGGAGAGGAAGACCACGAGAACCCCTCACGGTTTGCCTGACGTCAAGGGGACTCTAACCCATGATCCGTCTACCACTGAGGATATTTCACGTCAGCACTCTGTGGTCGGTGCAAGCCGGATGCGAAATTCGTATCGACTGGGATTCGAACCCGGTTCACCTCATTGGAAGGCGAACGCTCTATCCCCTGAGCCATCACGACTCACCGATGTTTTATTGAAATTTCATTAGCTTTTGGCCGCCATTCCTGTTTGCACGGTGTTCCGCGCGAACAGGAATGGCGCCTAAACAAAAACCGCTAATTTTTCGAAAGGGGGCACTCTCAAATATATTTTTAACAATAGTCTTCCATTTGTTATTAATAAATGAATCTAAAAGATATTGTGTTTCCAGGAACCTTTTTAGCTGCCTTAACAGTTCTGTGTGGATGTCCGACTGAATACGATGACAGGTGCAAGGCCTTCCTCTATAATGTTTTAGCATCATTTCTGCAACTGCTTACAGCTCTCATAGTCGTTGGATGGGTGTGGAGTATCATGTGGGGGATAACATTTGTCGGTATTAGCAGTAAGTATTCAATTTTTTAAATCCTAACTTTTGCTCATTCTTTTGAACAACTCGTATTATTTTTGAAAAATGTATATTATGGTGCCATTTATGACATTAATAAACTTCGGCTGATACTTCGTGTTGATTGCTAAAGCTAAATTGTACAATAAAAAAAAACCTTAACAATTACAGAAATTTGTTATGAATTTAATTCTAATGTTATAACTCCTTCTCTGTTTATTAAAAACAATTTTACCTACTCACTCATTTTCCTAAGATGGAAGTAGGTACTTTATTTACGTCGCACTAGAGCTGCTCAATGAGCTAATGGCGACGGTCGGAGAAACATTCTTCAGGATGATCCAATGGCATCTGAATCCCTCTGCAGAAGGAATGACTTTGGTAAACAGACGACCTGAGAGTGAAGTCGAGCACAGAACAGTGAGGGCCGCGCACCCTCGGTTCTTGCGCAAAGCTGATCATCCACCCGCTTACTGACCTCAGCCAGTGATGCCTACCGAAATTCTGTGTTTTTCTTTCAAATTAAGCAATACCGCTTAGAGATTTAACTTGTATAACTATAATATAAAATCTTAATGCTTTCTTAAATGAATGATAAAATAAATATACGATTTTTTTATTTCTAAACTATTTTGCTTTATAATTACTATGGGAAATTTCAACTTGCAATTTTCAGTTTGTGTTGTGTTTCGATTATTTTAAAAGAATGTTACCGTCACGTGGGGCTACTTTGTGCAAATTCGAATTTGGCACTTTTCAAGCGCTGCTATTCGGTATTATGTTTTCTTCACGTTAAAAATGTGTGGAATTTGAAGATAGAAGTCTCCTCTATTACTACAAACATTTTTTCGAATTTTAAAACAATCTCAGAGTGTGTTTTGTTCATCCAATGTCAACAACTTTCCGAGAACATCGAAAAGTGTGCGTGGAAACATACTTTAGCTGTGAAATGCAAAGACGTTGATAAAACAATTGTCGTAAGAGCAAAATTTTTTATTTATATATTAATAAACAATTATATTGTGTTAGCGTTAAAAAAATTTGAAAATTAATAAAAAATAAAAGGAAAATGAAAGAAAATGCACTGTGGGGCTACTTTGCGCAAAGTTTCATTCGTTTTTTTTTTTTTTCGACAGAAAAATGGTCAGACGTTATTAAAAAAATACCTGGAACGAAAAACTACAGTGATTACACTTTAGAAAAGCTGCAACAATGTTTGCAGGCAGTTGCTGGTGGTATGTCGATTGCAGAAGCTTCTCGGGAGTACAAAATCCACTGAAATACTATTTTTAATAAAATTCTCAAGAAACACGTGAAACGTGCTCGTAAACTACCATTTTTCTTCTACAAAGATTTTTCTAATGAATTAATCAAACGATTTAACACATAAAAATATATTTTATAGGACATCAGGCGATTTTGACAGAAACTGAAGAGCAAGTTCTGTCATGTTTATTCAAGCATGTTATGCTCAAATTTATTAATATTATAAATGTTAATGAATATGTAACAATTAGTATTTTTGAAATTTCATCCATTTCATGGTTTCCTTTTGTTTAAACTCAAATGTTTTGAAGTAAACATTCTTTTTAAGAAAAAATTCTTTATAAAAAATGGTTTTTTAATGCTGAAAATTATTTTCAAACTAATATCTTTACATATCTTGATGTTTTTGTTATTAAAAATGTCAACAATTAACATTTTTTAACAATTTTATATCAATATTTTACTAAAAACATGATTATTAAACTGACTTCCTATCGCTGCACAAAGTAGCCCCACTTGGGGGCTACTTTGTGCAAGGTATGTTTTGACTTATTATTTGTGAATATTACATACAAATAATCCCAATATTGATCAAATTCACTCATGTGAGTCCAGTCCTGAATATAAAATCGATAAATTTTACTAAAGTTTGAATTAACATAGTTTTTTTACATGTCAAAATTCAAAAACTGCGAAATCCTGCACAAAGTAGCCCCACATGACGGTATGTAGTTTTACTAAACAGTTGAATCCCTGTTTAATTGTTTTTGAAGTTTGCGATGCTTGTAATTAAGAGCAATAATTATTCACACTACTTCGAAAAGCAAAGTATCACTCAATGAAATTAAAGTTCTGCAATCATTCCTTGTAGGTGTTTTCGTCACATTAGCTTAATGAATAGTTTTTAACTTTGTTGCAATATCTGATGCAGCGTAACAATTTATTTAGTGAATCAATCAGTCAATAATTGTGGTTAATGAGATCATTAATATCATCAAAAGCAGGGTTTTTTTAAAAAATAAATTCTGCATTTTTTCAAAAAAAGCTTTTTTTGCAATCCTGGGCTCTGTTTGTGGTAGATATTTGGAAAATATTTTTGTTACTTAACAGCGCAATGAAAATGGATAATACTAAACTTAACAGTCATGCATAACTGTTATAAAGTCACAACAGTTATTAAAAGTGTTTATAAAGTGTTATTTGTGTGACTCGAAACTTTAATAGAGCAGCTTTAACACTATACACACCAACACTATACCTATATCTACTGTAGCGATTCCCTTCCAAATAATCTATTTTTAGATCAAACCCCCAAATTGTGCCTCTTCAGCCTACCCTGAGATGCCGGGATTAAGGTTTTTACATCATTCCAGTGAGTATCCCCTCAGCGAGCAGTCGCACAAAACTTGTTACTTGTTACGTTTCAATAAATATATGTTAAGTTTTAAAAATCGTCATCCTTGCTCTCACCACACATTGGAGTCCTCATTAATTAGTGATTAGAGGAAATTAATTTACACCTTGAAACCTCTAAATTGGTGACCCGGACGTGATTTGATCATGCAAGTAACTCCCACTTCACAATCTCTTGACAGGTAACGCCTACTTCGATGGATAGTCCACATTGAACAGTTGACTTGCTATTTGTGAATGCGTCATTCACCTCCTGCGCTGTTGCTACTCAGTCTCGTCTCGAATATTCACACAACGTCATACACTCTCAACGCCTGCATACACTCAACTGCTAATGGCAACACAGGAGCGACTTCGACTGTGAAGTTAATACACCTTTCACATTCAGCACTCAAAAAAAATCCGGTGACTATCTCTCCCGGTCTTTCACAAGTACAGCAACTAGTGAGATCTGTTCATTGAATTATATCTCTGATAAAATTCTGGTGGGGGAGTACTGCGGCGTAACTACCACTACAAAAGTTTAACATCATTCACTACTATATATAAAGCATGCTAACTTGATTTTATCATGAGGTACCTTTTGATAGATGACGGTTGGCATGGTCGATAATTCCGCCTCCCCCACATTGCAATACATTGTTCTCCTGGTCAAATGACCGGTTGTGGTGGAAATAGGTTATTCGAAACAAACAAAATACCAAAAAAAATAGTGACTAGCTGTATATTATTGTTAGAAAAAGTCATGAAGTCAAATGCGCAAAAACGATAAGATTATAAAGCACATTATTGATTTCAAAAGTTCTTATGTTATGTTTAGTGTTAAAACTGTTGTTCTACTGTATTGCATTAAAAAGAAGCAGATATAAAATACCATTCTAGACCATTGCGTTAAGTGAAAAACTCTTTTCAGAGAATAGTTCGAAATTCTTGATAGAATAACAAATTTAGGGCGTGTCTCTGTCGTAGAGCCCCACTACATTAAAGAATGACAGTAACGATTTCTATAAAACGGCATCCCAAGGGTATGGAAACTTGTGGTAGAAAAATCATCTTTCTCTGTACATAAAATGAAAGTAAATTCTTCTAAGTATCTTAATTATTAACGCGGATTTAAAGGCTGACGTTGAAGAGTATTTCTAATGTCAAAAAGAACATTTGTAACAATTATTTTAGAAATGAATCAGTGAAAAACAAGTTAAATTTTAGGACAGAACGTAAACTATAACCAACCTTGGTAAAAAGTGTTACATGAGTGTAAAAATTTTCAGCGAAAAGTGCAGAAAAATATTTGATGGATGGGGGGTTTTACAGAATTATTCCCAGTCTCTGAAACAGCCGGATTCACTCCAGTCTGAGAACGATTTGAGAAAGTGCAAATCAACCCCGTTTTTAGCACGGAGGAGTTTGTCTATGTAAATAACTCCCCCAGCCATTCGTCTGGCTATAGTTACGAGGTTTAACTATGATCTAATTTAAGACTGGGTCGGCGAGAGAATGAGGAGAGAATTTCCATAGCAGCAAGCGTTTTCTACAGGCAAACTATACCGAAAGTAAATATTTTACCCAATACAGCAGCGATTGGGAATCTGCTAAACTAACTAAAAATAGACTTTATTTATTAGCCGTCTTTGAACAACCGACCCAATCTTTGAGCTTAAGACTACTCATGTTCAACTCCGTAGCCTTGTCAGTTTGAACCTAATCCAGAAGACAAGAGAACTCTTGGATTAAGTATTGAATGAAATTTGCGTGGAGTACATTTTGATGAAAATAACCAGCATCTGTTTTACGCGGGGAGGAAAACCACGAAAACCTTCCACGGTTAGACTGACGTCAAGGGGACTCTCACCGTCTAACACTGACGATATTTCTACGTGATCAGAGCTGAATTGGTTTCTATCAGCCATCGCCTGTATTTGATCACAGGTCACGTGATCTGGAGTTTCGATCAGGATGCGACACTAACACTATATTTGAGATGATCACTTGAAGGAGAAAACTCAGGACAGCACAAGAGTAGTAATACAAAATAAAGGAATAATAAAATGGAAAGAGTTTAAAATAAAAGTATTAAGAATAATAAACGAAGTAAAATACTCTAGTAAAATGGGTAATAACATGTAAAAAGCAATGCAAGAGGTAACAGTAATAAGTTCTTGATAAATAAACGTAAAAATAACAAAGTTTGGTGTTTGTTTGCAGCCTTGTGGACAGATAGTGTTTACATTCTGATGAGGTCAGAATGAGTAGTGAAACAATTTGATAAAACAATAACAGAGGGGAAAACAAACTGTGTTGTGATAAATATAGAACGAGGTAAATAAAATATAGACAAAAATATTATTCATCATAATTATAACTATCAGAAAGGAGTGCAGAAGTAATAGAAACAATTTACAGGAGAAAGAGTGCTGTGGGAAAAATAACAATGTTCGTCAATAGGTGGCACCACTGAGGTAAACTTAAAAAGAACGAAGAATTAAAAATTGTTAAAAAAATTAAAGATGTAATTATAATTTGGAAAATGAATGTGGAATATTCAAGAGATCGTTTATCAGATTAATAATAATCGAGTTAGTGAATGGAGGGGTATAGTGGGGATTATGGGAAAGAAAAGTTTTCGAAGATTTTTCCTCTCCACAACGTTCTTTCTCCCAACGTGTAAATTACGTTGAAGGGTCGGTCAGCAATATTACCTAATCAGAAATAATATTGAGCCAAGTTTTCTATATTTACTCAATCTACATCAGATTCTCGACTATTATTAAATGTGACTTGAATCTGGCCTATACAATCCCTGTCCATATATTATTAGACTCACTATAAGATTCTATACGTTAAATTATAATTATCGTGTGATACTGAGGAGACACGTGGAAGTTAACGCGACTCCTAAAATAAAAACATAATATTCAAATAGAGAGATGATCTAAAATGAGTAATTAAGTTGATTAAGAATAGAAACAATTAACAGAATGCCAGCCATAATTAAATAATAATAAATTTAATAAAAGGATAACAATTAAGGTTACAAGTTAAGTTCTAGATTAAACATCGTGGCGGACAGGTTGTCCCAGTAATATACACAGGCGTCGTCACAGACCGAACTGAGAAGAAAAACAGGTGCAGTTAGGTCTGCAATCGTGATTGTCCTTATCGCCAACTGGCGACGTAAGTTTGCCACATTNATTTAACGTGCATCAGTCACCATTTACTACACGGGGAGTCTTCGACCAGCAGGGACCGAACCCACGAACTCTTGGACATGGGCCCTTTTTTACCCATTGGCAAAATGGGTCTGGGTTTGGATTTGATGGCATCCAAACACTTTTGCGCATGCGTCGTCATTGCATGCGTTGCTATGGGGACCGCTGCTGTTTTTCTTTTTCTTTTCACTAACAGGCATTTTTAACGTATTTACATAATAATATTTTAAAATATTTTTGTATTACTTATTAACGTATAATGACTGACTTGACGGTGATTATTCATATAAATGAAGAATGCTGAAGAAGGAAAAGTATATAGCATATTCAGGAAATGAAAATCAACAAACATCCATTGCAACCCATGATTTGAAATGTTTAATGGAGTCCATTTCAGAAAGAAAAAGCATCTGACCCATTTGTAACCATTGATCGTCACATTTTTTTGATGATTTGAATTCCGTTTTTGTACTGAATTTGATCCATAAAAAAAATCGTTAGCTAATTTGTTGTTGTATAATTTCAGTTTCTAAGAAAGAGAATGACATTGTGAGGGCCACATTATGAACCCTGGAGGAGGAGTAGAAGAACCCAAAGGTCCAAGCTGCCTGGAAGAAGCAGAAACTGTGATATTTTCCGCTGCAAGCATTTAAAGAGACCAAAGAACGCTACCGGACTTTCTGTAGATGGCATTTAAAATGTTTGATATATGAAACACTTTTTTTTTTCATTTCAGTTATATAAGTGCTGTAATGGATCACTTAAAAGTGGACTGGGGGGTTATTTTAAATTTATTTTTATCTATTTTAACTGTCTAACAAATCTGTCCTCCTATCTTAGCAAGAATTTAATCCTATAGTTTATCACTTAACTTTTGCTCTATTTAATTTTTATTAGTTTCATAGTATAATATTATGATATAATTGCTGCGCAAATTATTTTTATGAATGAATTAATGTTTATTTCAATAATATATGTCTTTGTGATCGTTTTATTACGTTGCTGCGAAAAACCTTCTTTTTCACTATGAGTTTTTGTTTATGATTTAAAGTATGTTTCACTTGCATCGCTACAAAAAATTTTTATGTATTTTTATGGTAATTGTTGTATAATGAATTCTTTTTCTTGCAACACAACTGCAAAAAGGAAACTTATTCTGTGTTTTAATTATTTTTTAACGTGAGTGTTAGATTCTTATTATAGACTCGAAATGCGTGTGAAAGAACACTTTTATTGATACGAACAAAAGTAGAGGCTATGCATGGACCAATCGACCGATTTAATCTTCACATATTTATTCATAGCCATGTCTGTAAGCAAGATAATCAGCTCTGGCTACTCAGGTTTCTAGTCAAAGAATCTACAACATAGACAACATATCAGCTGTAAATGCCATCTTGTGTCTTCTAAATAAAAGATATAGGTGAACTCTTACAATTTGTTCGTGTCAGTTGATTTCTATCAGACCCCTCTATGGTGAACCTTATTTCAGTTCATACCACAAACAATGGTTCCCTTTTTATGACACATGATTTAAATGAAATACAAAAAGGAACAGTCACAAAAAATTTAGAGATGAACTTTGATTGAGGGATGAGATAAAAGTAGCAAACAAGCCGTGATGCTATAGATGGTTCTAAAAATCGGTATACGTAGAAATGACCAGATCATCCCTCTTCTTTTGGTTATGGGCTGCTCTTCTTCTGTGTTCCTTGGAACAATCACTATGAGTCCTATTTTTGAATTGTTTAGTGAAGGTTCATCCATAAGATGGAAATTCCGGTATCTGGAATCGAATGTAAGATTTGAAAGAGATCAGCCTATATCTTTTATGCCGAAAATAAATGATGACACAATTGTACATAGGTAGAAAATACAGTTTTTTTTTAAAATAATTAACAGTGTGCCTAAAGTATGAACTCCTATGGGACCACTAAAGATTGGGACGCAGGATAGTGTTCTTGAATTCTATATATAGAGACATTTTTAGAATTAAAGTATCACTTCATTACGATATTTGAAGTATTTTTGAACAAATCTAATCCAATGTTGTAGTCATAAGATGTCGTCAACTTTAGAATTCTATTTCAGAATACGGATGCTCATTTTTAACAAACAGAATTTTTTTAATTTATAGAATGAGGATTTTTCCGTTAACCAAATAAAACAATCTAATTTTTGTCGATTTATAGGATTAATGCGACGCTGCTAAAAGCTTTAAAAATTATATTATTCCTCTTTTTACTGCATTGAACACTATGATGTCACCCTATACTATTTTTTAGTCCTATTAAATGATGTGTTCTACAATCCCTGTTAAACCAGAAATAATGTTTTAATAAGTTGTTTCGTAATCATTATTATCAAAGCTGAAATAATGTTTTTGTAAAATATTCTGCAATCCTTATTCATCTTAATAAACTACGAAGAATAATATATTAATATGATATTCTACAATCCTTATCGATCTTTTTAAATCAGAAATAATGTTTTAATACGATATTCTTCGATTCTTTTTAATCGTATCATACCAGAAATAGTGTTCTATACAAACATTCTTAACCGTAAACCAGAAACGATATTCGATTAAATTATTCCTTCATAGCTGTGTCGAATCAAAGATAGTTCCCAACCAAGTATAGTGTACATTTTTTAATAAATAAGTTTCATGACAAATAATGCATTCAGTTTGTTTGTTTTGCATTGTATATAATGTATTTTTACATTGAATTTGAACTATTTAAGTCTCCATGATTTCCCCCGTATTTCAAACGCATCTTAGATAATTTATAAGTTTTACAAAAGTTCTTAATTATTATTATGAATACTTCCCATCATAACCTTATAACTGTAGAAAAGAATAATTACTTAAAAGTGGATATCAGTTTTAAATTCATATGAAGAATATTTAAAATTTTATTTTCAATCTAATTCCTAATTTTTACTACTTCACATACTTCGTTCATTATTTTAGAATTTTAGTCTCTATTTTCAATAATTATTTTTTTGTCTGTCTTTTTGAATTTCGAAATTTTTTCCCAAAAATTTCGAAGTAAAACTTATCAAAATAAGTTTCTTAGAAAATAATGGCAATGTTACTTGGTGTGTGGCCTGATTTTTGTACAACAAAAATTCAGGCTCTACTATTATATAATATCTTTGGAGAAAAATGTGAAAGTAACCAAAGAAAAAACGAGAAAGTGGGAAAGATTTGGAAAGACTTTTTTTAAGTTTTGAAGCTTCTTTCATTTTTAAACCATATGTATAACAAAAAAGAAGAAAAGAATTTTGATTACAAAATATTCACTTTCTTGTTAAAGGAATTATAAGATAGAAATGCTGAAATCCATTTTGTAACAAAATGTATGAACAGTTTACAAAGATTTTAACTCTTAACCGTTTTTTTTTTCTCTCCATATTTTGTAGAGTAGATATTTTTACGACTTATGCTGGTGCGTAGAAAACTACAATAAGTAAATAAATAGTTATAGAATATTGTATAATGGTATGAATTTTATATAGAAAGCGTAGTTTCCTTAGATATTTAATTAAAAATCATCTTCTATCTTATCTTATCTTAAGAATACTATCTGCTTCTATATCTCTATTTATGCTATTCAAATTAGAACTATACACAGTGGAGGGATTATATTTAGTAAATCCATTCATAAATTCCGTTTTATTTTGATTTGTATTGGACGATAGACTGAAAATTTGATAAAATTCATTCTATTTATCATTATATCTGTTTTTCTTTTTTTTTTTCAATAGCAGTCAAGTTATAATAGAACCAAGTAAATATATATTTAATTCATGAAGAAATACTTAGATTTTAATACTGTTGAAAGGGCTTCAGCTAATTAAAATTTGATTAATTTAGCATAATAATAATAATAATATATAGCGCAATAAAAAAAGAAAGAAAATTAAGAAAAACAATAAGTTTTATTTAGTGCGCATAAGCTGCAATTGAATAGAACTCGCAAAATAAGTTCAAAATGTAGAGGAAACGCGGAAAAATGACAGAACAATGAAAAAAGGGAAAAATAATAATAAAAAACTCTGTAAAAAAGAAAAAATAATAACCGAAAAAAAATTAATAAATATCCGGAAAAAACAAAGATATAATCTTTTCCTCAGCTCACACGACTATATCCGCAAAACGGACTAATCTTTGCAAAAAAGGGTTGCTTTTTAAATGGACTTAAATTAAGCTTCGAAAATACAGTTACATTAACAAAGGACATTTTCTTAATTAAAAACCGCATTACTTGTTTTTATGGCAGAGAAAAAATATAGGCAGTTTTCTTTACAAAAATCAGGCAAGGGCATGGCAAAAAAACTAAACTTGAAGGACAAAAAAACCTAACTTAACTTAAAAGCTCTGAAAGTTCTTAAATTCGCTGAAAATTCACTGAACTTAAAAGCTCTTTAAATCACTGAAAAAATTTTAGTGTAAATTTTCAGTTCTTTCTAGGGACTGAATTTAACATAAATTGCAGCAAAAGTATTTTTTATAAATGCCTAAAAAAATATTTTTTAAGCAAATGTTAAGTTTGGATATTCAAGCTGTTAACTGAGCTAATATTTAATTGAATAAAATGTCATCATTTTTTTTTTTGCCAACAGATGACAATAATTCAGTTTCTGAAACGCTTAAAACATTTGCAATTGTACTTACTGTGCTATTGCTGGCTGGCATTTTAAGCTTTATGGCAAAAAATAAATTGGACAATTTTGTTGAATTTTGGAGGTTTCACATTACGTTGAACATGGGAGACCAAACTGTTGGTTTTCGCCCCCTCTTAAGGTTTTACTACTGTAAAGGGAAAAACGCGCGTCCAGCTTGTGAAGAAGTTTACTGATTCTCTACTGCAGTGTTTCCCAAACTTATGACTTTTGTGTACCCTTTCTAAATTTTTTGTAGCGCTGTGTACCACTCATAATGTATGTAATTTGAAAAATGAATGTATTTTTTACTATAAAAAAATTGCCCAAGAGTCAAAAATCACAACTGGCTGTTGACACCACTCATTATTAACTGTTAACTACAAAAAAATAGCCAACAGAAAAATACGCAATCTTAAATTTTCATGGCTAGAATTGTTTTTAAATAAAAAATTTTGAAAATTTCGTTTGTTGCAAGATATTTCGCATAAGAACGGGTAGCCCCGCTAAACTGTTCCCGCACCCCTGGGGGTACCACACTTTGGGAAACACTGCTCTATTAGAGCGGCAGTGCCAAAATTGGTAAAAGAAATTCCATTCGGGTGACTTTGAAAGATGCTCCTCGAAGATCAATCATTATATTAGTATGTTATCTCTAATAATGAGACCCAATTGTGAGACCCACTTTTTAATAACGACATGTTTTGCACTAGTTTATGGGCTTTTATATTTAAACATTCATGTCAAGGGTTTTTTTTTTCAGAGAGATTTTTTATATACTTTGTATTTACATTTTAACGTATTGCATTACAATGCTAACCCATTGATACGCCAACGTAAACGAGTGCAAACCGGTTTCATCCGAATAAAAACAATAAAGCTGCATCTGATAATTATAATTTTACATAGAATCTTATAGTGCGTCTACGGCCAGGGACTGAAAAAGATCACCTGTTACCACGAAGCTCTTCAATTGTAAAGACCTAAAAGAGAAAATTATTTTAAAACGAGCATTTCTGCGAGTCAAAGAATTAGGAAAACTAGAATCAATAATGATAAATCCGAACTGAAATGTTGAGTATTTTTTTTCGAAATAATAGTGAGTAGAAAGCGGTTCATAACGTTTTAAAAAAAAAAATTATCGTGACGTCTGGTATTGATGATCCATTCACTGTGTATTTTAGTGGAACTCTTCTTTAAACAAAACGTCCAAACTGTAGAAAATCAGTCCGTCCACTTTTTTATGCTAATCCGTCCGCACTTAATGATCCCTGCACAAAAAGACCTTCAAGAAATAGATCGATAAATAATTGTAAAATTCCATTGGTTTTATGAATACCGAATTTAATAACTTCCACCTTTAGAACAAGTTTTTAGTATAAGTTGAAAATGTGAATATACATTTTTTATGTCTAAAAACATTCATTAATATCAATGAAATTTATTAACAAATATTAATAGTTTTTCATAGGTTATTTTAACACTTTTTCCTTATTTCCTAAAACAATGACACACAATTTCAAAACTGGAAATTTTTTTTAATAAAACGAGAACTTTAGCAAAAAACTGAATACACTTTTGGATATGCAAATGATATTACTGTTTAAAGTACGTAGGCGCATATAAAAATGACACACATTTGAAAAATAATTTTGTCAAAAATAACAAAATTTTTCAATAACAATTTAGAATTTAAAAGAAAAAAATCATTGGTAAATGCATTAAGCAATTAGAAAAGTTCAAAAGTATGTGTTATTTATAAGGTTTAAAATAAGTTAAGCTGTTTAAATAATGCTTGAAAACTTTTTTTCCAGTTAAAAAACTTTTAAAATGTCTCTGATTTTATGAAAATTTTCAAGTTGTATAATTCTTTATAAATATTCCATAATTTCATCCTTTCCATTCTTGTAAACACCTTACCAACCGTGAAACTAACTTTTACTATAAGGTTATCATTTATATTATTTCTAAACGTATAATGATAAATACAGAAAAGCTTTGTTTAATCTATTAACTTGAGCAGTTCTTAAATGTTATTCATTCAAGTTCTATCCAGTTATGCAGTTTAATGAATGGGTCTTTTTTAGCAGGGATCTTAATGAAACTACATATTTTGCGAAGTAGAAGAAATATATTATTTTGTCTTTTTGTTGTTGTATGTTTTTACAAAATTCAAACAACCTTGAACGTCTTTCTACATTTCCTGAAACAGGGATATAAAAAAAAATTATATGATATCAGTGGATTGAACAAATGATTCTAACAAAAAAAAAATAATGTTATACTGTATTCAATACACCAATCACTTAAATCAATCCATTGACTCTTTTTGCCAGACATGTTAATACGTTGAGCGCATTCTTAAGGAAATCCTCGTCAGGCCACGCTTCGAAGATAGCGTATTGTGATATAGCAATTAATAATTGAATAAATAAAAATTTGATTTCTTATAAATCAAAATTATGTTCTCATAAAATTTCTTTCGTGACTTTAAACAATGTAATTTTATTTCATTAATGTCTTGAAACAATGTAATTTTGTTTCATCAATGTCTTAAAACAATGTCATTCTATTTCATTAGTAATTTTAAACAATGTCATTTTATTTCATTAATGATTTAAAGCAATGTCATTTTATTTCATTAATAGCTTAAAACAATGTCATTTTTTTCATGAATGACTTAAAACAATGCCATTTTATTTCATTAATGACTTAAAACAATGTCATTTCATTCAATATTTTTCACTGTCAGTCACCGGGGATTGACGAAACGTTCAGTGTCAGCCAACAATGTCGCAACGTGTTAACAATGTTGCAAAACTATCTTGAATACCTTTTTCAATTTAAACACAGTTGTTCAAAATAGTGAATACTGATGTAAGATTAAAATCATCTTAGTTAGATTAATAATATTGATTATAATATGTAATTATGATTGTGATTTAATTGTTACCAAATTGCTGTACACGTATGACGCAATAAAAACATTTTTAAAAAATTCAATTTTATTAACATTAATAAACTGCTCTACATAATCCATTGATATCAGTGGATCTATTTTATAATTTATCTCATTATTTTGTTTTTGTATAGATGTACATGATTCTGATTGTTTAGTAATGATCCGCTGTTCTTTTAAACATTTTTTTTCCTTTTTGAACCCAGGAGATCAATGCAACCAATAGATCTATCTTTTAAACGATCTTATAAATTTCTTGCATAGATCTAATTGATTACGATAATTTGGTAATGACCTGTTGTTGCTTTGAATAAATCTTTTTTTAAATTTTAAACTGTGGTAATTAACTTTTAAGAGTTAAAAGCTCTTGAAATTTCATTGATACATTTATAACTTAATGTCACGTGAATTTAAACGATTATTGTTTTTCGCGCAATAATGATGATTGTTACATTTATACTATGGAATGAGTGGTTCAATTAAAACATGCAATTCAATTAAATATGGTTCAATTAAGACATGTTGAATTGCTTTAATATTTTAACAGGTGTCTTTGTAAAATATTCCTG